CTATTCCTCCCACTTACACCAATGATGGGGCACTATTCCTCCCACTGATACTAATGATGGGGCACTATTCCTCCCACTGACACCAATGATGGGGCACTATTCTCCCACTGACACCAATGATGGGGCACTATTCCTCCCACTGATACCAATGATGGGGCACTATTCCTCCCACTGACACCAATGATGGGGCACTATTCCTCCCACTGACACCAATGATGGGGCACTATTCCTCCCACTGACACCAATGATGGGGCACTATTCCTCCCACTGACACCAATGATGGGGCACTATTCCTCCCACTGACACCAATGATGGGGCACTATTCCTCCCACTGACACCAATGATGGGGCACTATTCCTCCCACTGACACCAATGATGGGGCACTATTCCTCCCACTGACACCAATGATGGGGCACTATGCCTCCCACTGACACCAATGATGGGACACTATTCCTCCCACTGACACCAATGATGGGACACTATTCCTCCCACTGACGCCAATGATGGGACACTATTCCTCCCACTGACGCCAATGATTGGGCACTATTCCTCCCACTGACGCCAATGATTGGGCACTATTCCTCCCACTGACACCAATGATGGAACACTATTCCTCCCACTGACACCAATGATGGGGCACTATTCCTCCCACTGACACCAATGATGGGACACTATTCCTCCCACTGACACCAATGATGGGGCACTATTCCTCCCACTGATACCAACGATGGGACACTATTCCTGCCACTGACACCAATGATGGGGCACTATTCCTCCCACTGACACCAATGATGGGACACTATTCCTCCCACTGATACCAACGATGGGGGGACACTATTCATCCCACTGACATCAGTGATGGGGCGCTAGTCCTCCCACTGCAAAATTACAGTTATGAAGTAGCAACGAAAATAATTTTATGGTTGGGGGGTCACCACAACATGAGGAACTGTATTAAGGGGGTCGCGGCATTAGAAAGGTTGAGAACCACTGATCTAGATTGTCTGTTAAGTAAGCCTGTGGACCCTGGGGGAAGCAGTCATTTTGAACCAGAGAGTAGGAAATCACCTAAGCCAAGACAAAGTTCAATAATGGCATTGATGAAACATTAGTTCTGACAACCTTTAAACACGATCTGTGTCTAAACTACCAAATTGTAGTAGAACGTTTATTGAAGCAACTGTGGACAGTTAATTTTGAGTACTGGAGGAAGGAATACAGACAACCTAGGATGATGTGGACCAAATATACAGTATGATCATCAAAAAACACTGTACCGTATATATCCCAGTGCTAGGAAGAATGCAATATCTGTTTGGGTTGATGTATGTGTCTCACTTTCACAAGTATTTCCTTCATACAAGCTAAGCTGTCAGTTGATGGCAGGGCTGAGACAAGGGGTGGGCAGGAGGGGTGGCTGCCCTGGGCACTGTGGTATTGTGTGTGGTGGAAGGGCACCACAAGGAGATTGTGGGTAGGGGATTAATTTTACTTTAGGAGGAGGAATTTGGGGGCAGCAGCAGGGGGAAGTAATGTATCTAGGAAAGGAAAATTTGGGAAGGTGTGCTAGGAATGGGGGTTTGGGGGGATTTAGTTGGGAGGGAGGATGAGGATTTGGCTAGGAGGGAGGATTTAGAGGGTTTGTGCTCGAAAAGGTGATATGGTAGAGGAGGGGGGGGGATTTGTGCTAGCAGGGGAATTTTTTTTTTGGGGGGGGGGGTTGTGCTAGTAGGGATGATTGGAGGGGGATTTGTGCTAGGAGGGGAATTTGGGGGGGGGGGGATTTGTGCTAGGATGGGGGAAGGGGAATTTGTGCTGGGAGGTGGGATTTGAAGCATGTTGGGAGAGGAAATTGGAGGGGTAAAGGAGGGGGAAATTTTCAGGGGGGGTATTTTAGTGGGGAGCATAAGAGGAGAGGGAGGAATTGAACTGGAGGATGGGGGGAGCACAGATTTGTGCTGGGTAGGGGGATTTCAGTAGTGGGGTGGATTTGTACTGGGAGGAGGGGGGTTTATGCTTAGGGGGTAAGCATGCAGATTAGTGCTAATTTTGTTGGGAGGGGAAGGGGATTTTTAATGACACGTCTTGGGGGGAGGGGGGCACAATTTGACATGTTCGTCCTGTGCTCTAGATGACCTAGCACTGGTTACCGGCTTTGTCTTGGGACATGTACAGGCTATTTATCCTGGAATAAATTACCAGCAATGGTTATACTAACACATGTGAATTGAGTGATACAGCACTTGCTTGTTGCCTGACAATTGCAGGCATGGGAAACATTTAAAATAAATTCATTGTGGACCAACTTTCAGCATGAATGATTTGAAGTTTTGACACAGCAAGCTATAGAAGATTATCATGATGGCCTCTGAACCAGCACAGAATTGTACACATTCATGCAAAGATATGTTCTGTAGTTGCTGGAAGTGTATGTTGATGTGATTAATCATTTCACGCTGTCCAATGTTTATTTATTTATATTTATAGGTTGTCAGGACTAAGGTAATATTGCAAAAACACTGTCATTTAAAATGGATGGACGGATAAATAGGTGTCATTGTGTGCTATATTTTAATATAATTTTTGTACTAGTAGACATGAATAGACATTTGCTAATGTCTCACCAGTTATGCAAGCATAACAAATATTTGCCTTGATGTTTGTAATGTGTTAGTATTAGCTTCCTCGTTGCCTTTCACTGGATAAATGTAAGAACCCCTAACATTTGACCCTAAGAGCAAAATAGCTTTAAAATGTTACTAAACCCACAACAATAAAATCAGTCTGTATATGCAGTGAAGCATGATTGTTATACTCACTGTGGAACCTAAGGGGTTAATCCTCTGCATTGTGTAAAAAAGGCCATTTGATCCTAACTTCTCTGCTCCTCCTCTTGTTTAAATGTCCATGTCTTATCTCCTGATAAGACAGACTGAACCGTAGCCATTTTGCACATGCTCAGTTTAGTGTGTATTGCTAGAGAGGTTTTTTTTCTTGGGAGAGTGCATGTGATCAGCACAGGGCCAGTCAGCACTGTCCAGACAGAGGTCAGAGGTTTTGCATCCTCCTACAGCAGAAAGAAAACTCCTCCTACAAGCTTTAACCAGTGCTCAGCTGGACACTGATAGAAGTAAGAAGACTGCTCTAACTGCTGCTGAGAAAAGGTATTTAGCAGTTTATATTTACTAAAATAATTGCATATCCAGATATAGTGAATGCAGGGTCCTGGGTTTAGTAACACTTTAAGAACATTTGACCATGAGAGTTTATGGGCATTGTTTTGTTGTTTGCTTCTTTTCATAAGGCCCCCCTTTAAAATCCATACCAGGTCTGAAGGGCCTGGTATGAATGTTAGGGGGACCTTACTCTGTTTTTTAAACCTAGCCCCTCTTTTTTTACATTCATCTTTCAGTCAAGAATCCCCAGCTGACAGAAGAAGGCGCTCAGTAGGAATGAGTCACTGGTTCATAGGACGCCAGCAGGTGCCGCCTCCCTAAAAACCAGGAGGTTGCTAAATGTTTCACTTCACTCTGCAGATGGAGGTTCATTTGGCCAAACACTCATTGTGTAACTGAAGTGTTAGCTGGAGTTTGGCTTCAATTTGTTAGTGTATCTAAATCTGATAGAACATCTAACACTCTCATCACCCCAAATTACCAATGTTGCTATTAGAGATGAGCGAATTATTCAAAAATTCGGTTCGGCTGATTCGCCGAATTCGCCGAATAAATTCGCTTCGAGCCGAATATATTCGCTGCGAATTTAACTTATAAAAAGGGTGTTTCTAGGCTTCAGAGAGCCTTTATATTAGTGCAGAACACTGTACCTTTAATTTAAATGCCCTTGGAGTCTGCTGGGGAAGAGAAATAATACTGTCAGTCAGTATGACATGCAGATGAGTGCCGTCGATCTTAGAATCACCGCACACTTCACTCATTTTGGCAGTCACGGGGCCAAAACCAGAGTGTGGAGCCACAGTGTGGCGGTGGAGGCAGCAGCAATGGGAGGCCATACAGCACCCTATGACAAAATGGAACCCACCAGCAGTGTGAGGAGACCTGAAAGTGGCACATGGCAGAGTGTGGCGATGGAGACAGCAGCAATGGGAGGCCGTACAGGGACCCATGACACACTCTGGATCTGGCAGCAGCATGAGGAGGCGGTACAGGGGCCCATGACAGATTACGGGCCTGGCAGCAGCATGAGGAGTCGGTACGGGGGCCCATGGCAGATTACGGGCCTGGCAGCAGCTTGAGGAGGCGGTACAGGGGCCCATGGCAGAGTGGCGGAGCGTAAGCAGCTAAAATTGAAGGCCATACAGAGGCCTATGTTAAAAAGTCCCCCCAGCAGCAGCGTGGGGAGACGACTATCAAGAGTCCAATGGCAGAGTGGCGGAGCAGAAGCAGCTTCAATTGAAGGCCATACACAGGCCTAGGTTTAAAAGTCCCTCACAGTTAATTCCAATAACGAACTCTACTCCTCCGTGCAATCTACTTACGAGACCCTGGGCAGGTCTGGGTCCAATTTGTGGTAGAGACTGGTTTTGTTCAGCCATGCTTGAGCGAGTAATAACAGGTCTGTGCTGCCCTTTGGTGTCTGGCTTAATGCACACAACACTGAACGTCCCAGCGTTTGTCAACGATTTGCCGTTAAGTGATGCAAACCCGCTGAACCACGTTCATGAGGAGCCGGTACAGGGGGCCATGAATCAGTATGGACCTGGCAGCAGCGTGAGCAGACGACAGAGGCACATGGCGCAGGGTGGCGGTGTAGGCAGCATTATTCTGAAGCCATACACAGGCCTAGGTTAAAAAGCGGAAGCCGTCAGCAGCGTGAGCAGACAACAGAGACACATGGCGCAGGGTGGCGGTGGATGCAGCAGTATTCGGAAGCCAAACACAGGCCTCGGTTTAAAAAGCGGAAGCCGTCAGCAGCGTGAGCAGACGACAGAGGCACATGGCGCAGGGTGGCGGTGGAGGCAGCAGCAATGGAAGGCCATACAGCACCCTATCACAAAATGGAACCCACCAACAGTGTAAGGAGACCTGAAAGTGGCACATGGCAGAGTCTGGCGATGAAGTCAGCAGCAATGGGAGGCCGTACAGGGACCCATGACACACTCTGGACCTGGCAGCAGCAAGAGGAGGCGGTACAGGGGCCCATGGCAGAGTGGCGAAGCGTAAGCAGCTTAAATTGAAGGCCATACAGAGGCCTATGTTAAAAAGTCCCCCCAGCAGCAGTGTGGGGAGACGACTATCAAGAGTCCAATGGCAGAGTGGCGGAGCGGAAGCAGCTTCAATTGAAGGCCATACACAGGCCTAGGTTAAAAAGTCCCCCCAGCAGCAGTGTGGGGAGACGACTATCAAGAGTCCAATGGCTGAGTGGCGATCCGGGAAGTCAGCGTTGTGATTGCAGATGCAATGCAGAGATTCTATGAGGTGATGCCGTGGGTGTGAAGAAGATCATATACCGTCCTACTTCCATCCATAAGACGGAACAACCTGCGAACCGGGAGCTTTATTGCCCTGACCCGCTGAGCAGCTTCTGGGATACCCAAGAGGCCATGGCAGAGTGGCGGAGCGTAAGCAGCTTCAATTAAAGGCCATACAGAGGCCTATGTTAAAAAGTCCCCCCAGCAGCAGCGTGGGGAGACGACTATCAAGAGTCCAATGGCAGAGTGGCGGAGCGGAAGCAGCTTCAATTGAAGGCCATACACAGGCCTAGGTTAAAAAGTCCCCCCAGCAGCAGTGTGGGGAGACGACTATCAAGAGTCCAATGGCTGAGTGGCGATCCAGGAAGTCAGCGTTGTGATTGCAGATGCAATGCAGAAATTTTATGAGGTAATGCCGTGGGTGCGAAGAAGATCATATACCGCCGTACTTCCATCCATAAGACGGAACAACCTGCGAACCGGGAGCTTTATTGCCCTGACCCGCTGAGCAGCTTCTGGGATACCCAAGAGTTTGGCTTCTGTGGGGAATATGGTTGAAAACTGAAACTTAAAGGCATGTTGACGGAAGGGCACCAGTGTCAGTGCTCCGGAGGGAATATAGCTTCAAAGCTGACACTTAAAGGTATATCGACGGTCAGAGACCACAGGAAGTGGAGCTTGCGTCTTAAATCGACTGAATGTGGCAGACGTGAAACGTCTACGGGCCGTATATGAAACGGGTTGTTCCTCTTTCTGGAATAAGTGTTGGAAATGGCCACTCTTTTTGGTGTGGCGTTTTGTCTATTTAATTCCGATAACGGACTCTACTCCTCCGTGCAATCTAGTTACGAGACCCTGGGCAGGTCTGGGTCCAATTTGTGGTAGAGACTGGTTTTGTTCAGCCATGCTTGAGCGAGTAATAACAGGTCTGTGCTGCCCTTTGGTGTCTGGCTTAATGCGCACAACACTGAACACTGAGTAACACTGTGTCCCTGAGTAACGATTCTGTGTCCCTGAGTAACGATTCTGTGTCCCTGAGTAACGATTCTGTGGCCCTAAAGTCTCTGTGGCCCTAACTCTGTCCCTTAATACACACAGGTCTGTCTCTCTTGAATGACCGGAGGCTAATGGAGAATTCTAAGATGGCCGCGATTTATAGCTCCACCATTACACAGTGCTGGCTGGCTGCTGATTGGCTAATGCGATCACATGTCATGAATGCATTATGGGTCAGCGCGCCTTGTCTGCGCGCCTTCCCAGAGATCCCCGCCCCATCTTCTCTGTCCATTTTCTCCGTCGCCACACATGTCGCCGCCATTTTTGGGAAAATTTGATTCGTGCATCCGAAGTTTGCTAATCTTCGGATTCGTCGCGAATAGAATTTTTCCAAATCTTCGGAACGAATTCCACTTCGTCATGTTCGATTCGCTCATCTCTAGTTGCTATCCAAAGGTGCCCCTCTGCTTCTTCATCCAGAGTGTAGATACTCTAATACAGGAGGTGTGTTACTAGCCAGATCACTAGGTGAAAACAAAGGGAAAAGCATAAAAACAGAAAACTAATGCAGTCACCACATCTAATAATGTAAAAACTGCAATATATTACATTTTTGATTTTTTGTTTAATACAGCTTTAAACCTAATTTTCGCCTAGATTCAAATGTTGGAGTTTGTTACATTTCCCCAGCAAAAGGCAACAAGACCACTATTACTCAATGGACATGTTTGCTTTGTTTCGTTACAATTTGCTTTTCAGATTATAATCTGACTTTCGGAGATTCGGATGTATCTGAATTTTCAAATGTACATAGTAACAAATGTCAATGAATTAGAAAAAAAGGTTGTAATCAAATTAACAAATGCATTTGCTTCATTTGGATTTATTGTGAAGAACATGACTCATCTGCTGTTAACAGGCACTGTTGTCAGTGCTGGCATTAAAAATAAATTAAAAACAGCATGGAGGCCCCCAACCTATACCTGCCCTTTGGGACTGGTATGGATTTTGTGGGAATCCCATGCCAAAATAAAAACAAAAATGGAGTGTGGTCCCCCCCAAAATCCATACCAGACTTTTAGGTTTGGCATGAATTTTAAGGGAAACCCCAAGCCAAAATATAGAAAGTGGCATTGAGTCCCCCCCCCCCAAATCCATACCAGACCCTTATCTGAGCATGCAGCCTGGCAGGCCAGAAAAGGAGGAGGGTGAGCAAGCACCGCCCTTCCTGAACTATACCAGGCCATATTCCTCTCAACATGTGAAGTGCTTTGGGTAGAGAGGGAGAGATGTTGATGAAGACAATGGCCTCTTCCCCACAACGCTGACCCAATAGTTGTAGAGTTGTGGGGGGTGACTTATTGGAATCTGGAAGCCCCCTTTAACAAGGAGACCTCCAGATACTAGCCCCCCATGTGAATGAATATAATATAAATAAAAACACACACACAATATAAAGAAAAAATTAAATAAAAACATATCCCCCAATGTAGATCCAGTATCAATCAAGATGAATGCAGACCCGCATGAAAAAAAACAAAACGACACCACCTGCCAAACACAACCGATCCCATTCAGAGACAATCGCCGAATGACAGATGATTCTTCCCTGTTGATAAGTAAACAAGACCATGTCTCCATGACGTCACTCGAAGACCACCGTCCATGATGTCATGGGACGTGGTCACCCGGTGACATCACCAGGTGCATATGAAACAAAACAAAATGAAAATATGTGGTGTGCACATGTCTAGCTCACATATTACACACATTACAGGAATTATTTGTTACACTTGCACGAATGTTGAGACATTTTCAAAGCATGTCTCTGGCCTGTTGAGTCATTGAGGGAATCTGATAGGGTGGAAACTATCTAAAAATGAAGCCTCTCATCAAGGACTAGAGAATGCCACTTTAAGACCCCCAGAAGCAGAGCTACTTCAGGGGTATCTCACCATTCTTGATGCTTCAGAGGTGTTCTCTGGAATTATAGTGAGGCAACAGTGACAGATGGAAACTTCATCTCTGAAAGATATATATCATCTTAAGCTGGTCCATTTAAGAATATAGACAATCTTAGATGCCTAACTGCCTCCACAGTATGCAGTCCTAGAATACACTGGGTAGGATTTACTAAAGGAATAATTAGTTATGTAAACCTGTGTTTTACTTGGAACACCCATCCATGTGCAGGGGAGTTAAAGTAGTTGAAAACCCTTATATATACCCAGTGAAGCGACTACCATCAGGTGATACACAAAGATTAAACAAATCCTCCTACATACAGTATGTTGCACCTATTTAACTTTTTTGAGAGGTATCTTACCGCATCTGAGTATGTAGTAAGATACTGCTCACCTACTAAAATACCACACAAGTTATATTAAGTCATGCGGTATTTTTGTAGTGAAACATTCATTCATGTTTCAGCTGTCAGTGGGTTTCCCCGCTGACAGCTGAATGTAAAAAGAATTGTCGGCATTGCCCGACATTAAAAAAAAAAAATAATGGCATGGGGTATCCCCTCCTATCTATACCAAGCCCTTCGGGTCTGGTATGGATTTTGAGGGGAACCCCCACACCAAAATATAAAAAAAAAGATGTGGGGGTCCCCCCCCAAAATCCATACCAGACCCTTATCCAAGCGTGCAGCCCAGCAGGTCAGGAAAGGGGGGGGGGGTGAGCGAGCATCCCCCCTCCTGAACCATAGGAGGCCACATGCCCTCAACATGGGGGGGTGCCTTGAGGCAGGGGGGCTCCCCCCCAAAGCACTTTGTTCCCATGTTGATGGGGACAAGGGCTTCTTCCCCTCAACCCTGGGCTGTAGTTGTGGGGGTCTGTGGGTGGGGGGCTTATCTGAAGCCTTTAACAAGGGGGTCCCCAGATCCTGGCCTCCCCTCCATGTGAATAAGTATGCGGTACTTGGCACCACTACTCATACACAAAGTGTGGTGTAAAAAAAACAGGAGACAGTCTTTGACAAGTGCTTTATTAAAAAAGTTTAAAAAATGTCCCCCCGAAGTTGATCCAATGCCAATCACAATGCCCGCCACTGCCACAATGCCTGCCTCGATACTCCGCTTGCAACGCTAGCTCTCGCTGTCTGCGCCCCCATGACAGTTCTTAATACTGTCATGACATCACAAGGGGGCAGGGTTCATCATCCTGTACTGTGATTGGCCAAAGCATTGCACCTGACCTGTGAATTGTTTTGACCAATCACAATGCACTGTCAGGGTGCAGTGCATTGTGGGTTGTGGCAGGCGAATAGCCTGCCGAATGTCCGTACCGTTCGTGTGTTCACACATAGACAAACACTAATAATAACCAAACAAAAATCACTCTAGCAGCTTGAAGTCTTATTGGGGTTTATTTACGATTGCTTGAGAGTGCCAAATTAGGTACATTTCTGTATAGAAACCAATCAGCTTCCAGGTTTTATTGCCAAAGCATAATTGAACAAGCTGAGGTTAGAATCCAATTGGCAGATTCTCAGTGAGCCAGTTTTAGTAAATTAACCCTATTGCTTGTTCTTGGTTACTTGCACATATTCTTACTTTTTGCACTTGTGGAATGAGCTTTTATGGGTTGAAGTTACCATTTAAATTTTGCAGTGATGTGGTATTCTATACATGGGAACAACATACAATATAAATGCCTATAACCAGGAAAACGCTTAGAAAAGCATTCAGGATAATAGTGTATTTAAGCATAATATATGTACTTTCCAATTTTTTTATTTTGTTATTTTTTACTTTGTTATTTTACCACATATATCATAATCAGTTTTTTTTCTATTCTCCTTTAGTATCCCAAAAAGTCAATAAGTAAACACAAAATAAAGGAACGCAACAAAGACATTTTCCAGTACACTTATCTTTAGCTATTAAATTGTCAGCCTATGCAATTTTGAAATGTTATTACCATAATCACTTAGGCCCCTGTTCAATAAATCTTCCCATAGAGTAAAATAGTGTTTATGAGCCATTTAATAGAATTGATATGTTGCAAAATGGGGAAGTTCTCTTCATTTCTAAATAAATAGCAGTTGGAAGAACTAAAAGGCGTAAAGGGTGATTTAATTAATCTATTAAAGTCACTTTCAAAAAACGATATGTCTATATTCAACCTGGTATAATGGCCACAGGCTATCTGTAACATATTTTGGCTGTCGGCCCTCTATTCCATTGATGCCCCAGTGCAATGTGAATGCTTTACAAAGATCTTCACCTCTGGGATTCTCAACTCTGCCGCCTGTCGTTTATCTGAAGCCCGCCTTACACCTAGTCTAGTTTAAAAATGAGTGTAACAGTTGTTCTCTGTCTTGATTCTAGAATATGAAAATCTGCTCTTAAATCTAAATCTAAGAACAGAAATGTAATTCAGTTTATTGATGTAGTAGCTACATTTGTTTCCCTTTTTTTTTTCCTTTACTTTCACTTGTTTACCTGCCAGTAACATGCTCCCTGTCCTTGGTTGACAAGACTCACCAAACTCTGTGTATGCAGGAGCAACATTATCATCCAGATCAGGGGTATGGAATTAAAATTCATAGGTCCAGTCAGTAAAATTTTTATTCATCTGGGTCCGAGTCTCACATTTTGCAAGATCTTTCATATCGCAGCCCTCCCCATCCGTACATTGTAGTTTCCACTTTACATTACAGACCCCCCTTTATATCGCTGCCTTTTTCACACCACAGCACCCTCTTTTTACATTGCAGAACCCCCCACTTTACTTCACAGTGCCCCACTTTATATCATAGCACCCCCACTTTACAATATAGCCCCATTTTACATTACATCACCCCCTTTACATCATAGCACCACTTTGCATTACAGTGCCCATTACAACACAGCTCACTCTTCACATCACAGCTCTCTCCTTTACAATATAGCCCCCCTTTACATTACAGCACCCCTTTTTAATATGTCCCCTTCTTTACAATGCAGCCTCCCTTTACATCACAGTCCCTCCCATACATGACAGTTACAACACAGCCCCCTTCCTTACATCACAGACCTCCCACTTTACATCAGTCACAGCCCCTCCCCTAGATTTGCATCTCAGTCCCCTTCACAGCTTTCCTTTCTTGTATCCCAGTTCTCTTCACAGCCCCACCCTACTTTCCATGCATCCCAGTCCCCTTTACAGCCACCCCCTCTTTCCTTGCATATAAGTCCCCTTCACAGCCCCTCTTTCTTGTATACCAGTCCCTTTCACAGTGCCTCTCCCCTTTCCTTGCTTCCAAGTCCCTTACACAGTCCCCCTATACCCCAGTCCCCCTCACAGCCCTTATTTCTTGTATCCAAGTCTCCTTCACATCCACCCCCCATCTCTTCAGGCTAGTGCCCCTCACAGCCCCCATTTCTTGTATCCAAGTCCCCTTCACAGCCACCTCCCATCCTTGCACCCCAGTCCCCCCTCACAGCCCCCCTTTCTTGTATCCAAGTCCCCTTCACAGCCCACCCATCCCTGCACCCCAATCTCCTTCACAGCCCCCCTTTCTTGTATCCAAGTCCCCCTCACATCCACCCCATCCCTGCACCCCAGTCCCCCTCACAGCCCTCTTTGCTTGTATCCAAGTCCCCCCATCCCTGCACCAGTGCCCTTCACAGCCCCCTTTTCTGTATCCAAGTCCCCTTCACAGCCACCCCCCATCCTGCACCCCAGTCCCCCTCACAGCCCCCTTTCTTGTATCCAAGTCCCCTTCACAGCCACCCCCATTCCTGCACCCCAATCCCCCTCACAGCTCCCTTTCTTGTATCCAAGTCCCCTTCACATTTCATGTATACCAGTGCCCTTCACAGCTCCCCTCCCCTCCCATTTCTTGTATACCAGTCCCTTCACAAACTCCCTTTTTTCTTTACAAGTTCCTTTCAGAGTCACCCCCTTCTTTACATCACACAGTCTGCTTTACATGAAAGCCCTCTAACTTATGTCCCATTTCCCCCTTCCAATCACAGTTTCTCTGTAAGCCTTCTAATCCTACTTGCACAGCTTTTGGTGGGCGGGTGGTGCGGCTTGTCTGGATGGGGTACAGGACTTCCCAGCTTTTCCTGTTGGCGGGCAGGTGACTGCTGGGACCACCCCATGTTCTGGCAGTAAGTCTGCGGCTTGTGAGCTTGGCGGTCCTGCCCTCTGGGCGTGCCACACCTTCTGCCTGCCAGGGAAGAAGTGGAGCCGCGGTCTGGATAGGACTGTCATTTGGTCCGGGTTCGGACCACGGTCTGCCATTTAGTGACCCCCATCTAGATTGAGCTCCCGATTTGGACTACAAAAGCCAAGTTCTCTTCTTATCTCTATATAATAAGGGTAATATGTTCTGTGATCCCAGAAGCAAGCTAGGACGCTGGTAACATTGATTTTAGTTCAGTGTACAGGACGTTATAGTACATCTGGCAGGATCAGCGGATAAAATTCTGTACTTGCAGAAAATGTACTTAGCCTGAAAAAGAAAACTAATGCAGCTACTGCATCCCAGCACCGGTTAATTGCAATATATTACCCACTTTACCACCGCCCTATAGCAGCAATACTGCTACAGGGCGGCAGGGGTGTCCAAAATCATATATATACATGATTTTGCATTTCCTTTTAGGGGGGCGCGCATGAGTCATGCGCCACCATTCCTGGCCTCGGCTGTCAATCACCGGGTCCCGGCCGGTGATTACTCGCCGGCACCGGGTGATCGCTGAGTAATACCTACGGGGGGAGAGAACTGTATATAAACAATACAGTTCTGTCCCCTGTCAGCTTCTTACAGTAGAAAGCACAGACACAGCCCCCATCATTAACATCATTAAACACACACAAAGCACAGTTAACCCTTTGATCGACCCAAATGTTAACCCCTTCCTGCCCAGTGCCATTAGTACAGTGTCAGTGCTTTTTATTAGCACTGATCCCTGTATTGGTGTCACTGGGGATGTCAATAACACCAAGTCAGTTCCCCCCAGTGTCAGAATGCCCGCTGCAGTCCTGCAGTTGGTGATCTTATTTTTTCTTTCAAAATTGTCAGTCTTTTTTTTATTTATAGCAAAAAAATAAAAACTTCAGAGGTGATAAAATACCACTGAAAGAAAGCTCCATTTGTGGGAAAAAAAGGAGGTAAATTTCATTTATGCACAGCATTGAATGACCATGCAATTGTCAGTTAAAGTAACGCAGGGGGGATTCCTCTGGAGGGCAAGTGGTTAAACATTTTGTTCTTGGGTTTAGGTATACAAGCAGCAAATGATGAGGCAGTACAAAACCTATACTCCGTCTCAATTCATTACTACTATTACGATACTGTATGTCAGTTGTTGATTTATTCACTGATAATGTCAGTGTTTAAGTTTTAACCTCAAGGCTTGTAAAACTCAAAGTCAGGGTATTCATAAATCATTCATGCAAACAATAGTAACAATGCCCTTTTTAAAGTTCCATTAATAAATTTGGTAGGCCTGTCATGTAGTCAGGAAAAGCTTTTTATTAATAGGAGGGACACTGGATAGAACATCTTCATTGCAATGTACTATTTTTGCCTGATCACTACTTCAGGTTAAAACTGCATCCTATTTGTCAGTACACTGATTTGGTCAGTTTTTTAAGGATGTGTGATAGTAGGCAGTAAGGTCCTATGAAACCTAAGAGCAGGAATCATTCAGAGCCAATATACTGGTTTAATATTTGTCTGGGGTTCAGCTGCAATGACAATAAATATATATAAAATAAAATACGTAGAAGCAAATAAAAAATGTGCAGAACAAAGTACAACAGAGTCAAGGCAAAAATTGGAGAAGGACAAACCTGGTAAAAAGCTGATGACTGAGGCACCTGGATGAAGGGAAACGGATATAAATCAGCTTCCTTACAGATAAGTTATTACAGTTCAGGGGAAAAGTCTTGAAGAAGGCTATTTGTTGGTGGTAACTAGAATATAAGTCAACCTCATTTTAACTACTTGAGTATCACCCTGTAATGTCGCTTCATTATTTCCAGGTCAGTTTTCAATTTTCATTGGTGTGCTAGTTTGACTGACAGTTGCTCCATCAGGATACACTGTACCCAAATGAAGTTTATACACTTTTTGGGGACAGATCGAGTTTTCTTTGGGTGGTGTTTAAAGTGCTTCTAAAGCTTAACCACTTATCCTCCTGAGGATTTACTCCCTTCCTGACCAGGCCATTTTTTGCATTACAACGCCTAGTTACTTTAACTGACAATTGCGCTGTCATGCAAAGCTGCACCCAAATGAAATTTACATCCTTTTTCCTACGAATAGAGCTTTCTTTGATCACCTGTGTGTTTTTTATTTTTGCACTATAAAAAAAAAGACCGACAATTTTGAAAAAAAAAACCCAATATTTTGGACTTTTTGCTATTAAATATGTCCAGTAAAAAATTTTAAAAAATCAAATTTCGGCATAAATTTACACCAAAATGTATTCTGCGACATGTCTTTGCTAAAAAAAAATTCCAATACGAGTAAATTAATTGGATTATGTGAAAGTTATAGCGTTTACAAATGGTGGTATAGATACTGGGGTTTTTTTTTTTTCTACTAGTAATGGCGGCAATCAGCGACTTTTAGCGGGACTGCACCTGATATTCTGACACTGGGGGGGGAACTGACTTGGTGTCACTGACATTCCCAGTGACACCAATACAGTGATCAGTACTAAAAAAAAGCACTGACACTGTACTAATGGCACTGGGCATGAAGGGGTTAACATGAGGGGCGATCAAAGGGTTAACTATGTGTAGGGAGTGTTTTACTAGGGGGCTTGGGGGGGGTGCTTCACTGTAAGCACACTGCTCTGGATGGCTCTGCTGTGCACAGTGTGCCCAAGCTGACAGGGAGGAAGACTGTTAGTAAACAAAACAGTCTTCCTCCCCATCGGAAATGCTTGGTAATCACCTGGCGCCGGTGGGTAATTACCCGGTGATTGACAACTGCGGCTGCGAATGTAGCGCGAGTGCGCCCCCTACCCGAAAATGTTAAATCACGTATATATATACGTGATTTTGCGCACCCCTGCCACCCTGTAGTAGTATATCTGCTATAGGGTGATGGGGAAGCTGGTTGTAAACCTCAGACGTGAAATATGAACAAAACATATCTCTCTATAGAAGCCTTTCTAAACCTTTTCAGCATGGAGGAACGCTTGAAATAGCTTTCCGGTCTCAGGGAACCCCTGTTAAAACTTACTATATCTACAACTCATGATACATTAGTGAGAAGGTCATTAGGTGGAATGCTCCTTACACTTTTGGTCATTGAGAAGAATTACCACCTTACAGATAGCTAAAAAGACCCATGATGTCAGTGGAAACATATTTGAGAGGTAGAAATTGCTCATTGCTCAAGGAACACCTAGCAAGCTCTGGGATAACCCTGGTTGAGAAACCCTGCTCTATAGTGTGTACTTGTCTCAATCCAGAGCGTAAAGTGTCATTTCTGTCTGATGCTTTGTTCCTTTGCTATCAGCAGAAGTCACCAGTCTGTCTCTGGTGACAGGGGAGGGGCCTCCAGCAGAGTGACAGCCTCAACTATGTGAGCTGTGTGAAGGGGGGTGTGTCTCTTCCCTCCAACCAGCTCTCAGAACTGTTCTCACAGAGCTCTGCAGAGTGTAACTTCAGCTCCCCACCCCCTTTTTCTGAACTCTCAGACAAGATGCATATATTCAACACTTTGAATGGATGTAGAGAAGAGAAGACTACAGACAGACATCTACAACTTATGTAGGAGGATTTGTTTAATCTCTGTGTATCACCTGAGGCCTGTCACTTGACTAGGTATATGCAAGGGTTTACAACCACTTTAACTGCTTCCTGTTCGCCCTATAGTGGAAATACTGCTACAGGGTGGCATGGGTGCGCAAAATCACATATATATACATTTGTAGCCTCAGCTGTCAATCACCGGGTCCCGGCCAGTGATTACTCGCTGGCACCCGGTGATCGCTGATTATTAACGACGGGAAAGAACTGTACGTAACAACACAGATCTCTCCCCTGCCAGCTTCTGCGCACTGCTTTGTATAGCAGAGCCTTACAAAACAGTGTGCTTACAGTTGAAAGCACATACACAACTTACTGTTAAACAGCATGCAGTTAACCCTTTGATCTCCTCAGATGTTAACCCCTTCTTGCCCAGTACCATTAGTATTAGCTCTCCCCCCAGTGTCAGAATGCCGTTCCAGTTTTGCAGTTCCTGCAAGTCGCTGATCACCGCCATTACTAGTAAAAAAGAAATATAAAACTTCCAGTAAATATACCTCTGTTTGTAGACGCTATAATTTTCACGTAAACCAATTCATTTACACATATTGGGATTTTTTTTAGCAAAGACATGTAGCAGAAAACATTTTGGCCTAAATTTATGACAAAATTCGATTTTTAAAATTTTTTTATTGGACATGTTTAATAGCAAAATATTTTTTTTTTCTCAAAATTGTTGGTCTTTTTTTGTTTATAGTGCAAAAAATAAAAAATGCACAGGTGATCAAATACCACTGAAAGAAAGCTCTGTTTGTGGGGGGAAAAGGACATAAATTTCATTTGGGTGCAGCATTGCATGACCACACAATTGTCAGTTAAAGTAATGCAGCACCGTATCGCAAAAAATGGCCTGGTCAGGAAAGGGGGTAAATCCTCTAGAGGACAAGTGGTTAAGGTAAAAAAAGTTTGGTTAGCAGTATGCACCCTCAAACTCCACCCCCCCCTCCCCCTTATACTTACCTGAGCCCTCACTCAGTCCATCGCTGTGCCTGTCTGTAATAGCTCTTCCTGCTCTCACAGGCTTTGCTGAGGCAGCAGGAACCATTGATTTTCGCTGCTGTCAGTCAAATCCAGTAATGAGGGAGCAGAGGGCAGGACATGGGATTGAACCTGCGGGTGTGCCACAATAGGAAGCAGCTTCCTATGGCAGCACAATGAGAAAAGGAGGAGCCAGGAGAGCCAACAGGAGACCCAAGAAGAGGAGGATTGGGCTGCTCTGTGCAGTTCCATTGCACAGAGCAGGTGAGTATAATGTTTGTTTTTGTTTTTTTTAATTGACTTCACAATCACTTTAATAACTAGTGTGCTGGTTGGGATTTGAACCAAGGACCCTAGAACTGCAAGACAATTCATATTAGATCTCACTTTTTAAACATGGATGGTGTTAAGGTTTTTTTGGGGCTTACTAAGAAATTTTACTCACATTTTTTAATAATAGCCTAGAAATGCCTTTAATTAGAATTTAAAAATTTTTTAAGAGTAAACCTTGGGCACAATTTTATTCAGCAAGAATTACTGTTCTCTTACTTTTTACATTCCAGAAACTGACCAGTGAACAAGGACGTATTCGCTCATGCCAGCATTCATAGAAGGATGCAGGGTGCCCAAGCATCATTTTTCTGGCAAGGAAAAGTGAATACATTCTAGGTATCCTTGCTGGCAGCATAAGATCCACTTAGTAAGGCTGAAGATATAATTATATACCTATAATGACCTGTGTATGTATCTTTCCAACTGAAAGATAAAAATGGATGGATACAGCTGAGAAATACATTGATGATAAACAGTGTATGTATTTCTCTTTCATCATCTGTAAGAATTTTATATGCTCACTGGGTTGTGCTGATGGCACGTATTGAAGCTTTTCACTATGCTAATGAGACGAGTCGCTTAATTATACCTTCTACATAATGTCCACATGCACAGCCACCCTCTGATTATCTAATTACAATGTTTATTTTCCTGTGCATGAATTCAAACAGGACATATGAAGATAAACTGCCACTAAAATTGTAAAAATATTTATTTCCTGCAGTGTTAGGCAAAAATATAAACACCTCTGGTTGGGGTAACTCAAAGGCCATTAGAAGACAGTGAAGTTTTTTCCTTTTTTTTTATTATTAGGGATGTTTTGTATGCCAGAATGCATTAATAAAGCAATCTAGCGCTGGGCATTGCTCTGACAATCTGTACCTATCCAGGGCAGCTGGTAGCAGGAAATTGAGCCATAATAATAAAATAAAATATGTGCAGTGCTCACCCATATGTAACAGAAGAATAAATAAATTAATTGATAATGCATATGATATATATAAATGATATAAATCCATTAGGTGCTATAAAAATGCAAAATGTGCTATATATATATATATATATATATATATATATATATATATATATGTATAGTGTGTGTATATATATATATATATATATATATATATAGTGTGTATATATACAGTATATATATATATATATATTCATTATTCAGTCCATAATGTAAAGTGCAATTAGACAACAAACGTAGTCCATAATTGCACTTAATTGCACTTTACAATATGGGCTGAATTTAAATATATATGGCACTTTGTTATAGCACCTTAATGGATTCCATTTATATTTAAATATATATGATATGCATTATCTATTGATTTATTTATTTTAATGTCACATAGTGGTAAGCACTGCACATATTTTATTTTATGTTAATGTGATTTACAATATATTTACTGCAGCTTTAGAGATTTTTAGTTATAGTATAGTAAGAACGCAGTACTTTGGAAAAACATTTTTTAACCATAATATTGACCTTAGACTAATGTTAGCCATTTACTGTATATGTATAGATGTATAAATCCTATAGATTCCTTCATCCACGTGAAACAGAGTAGATAAAGGAATGACACCTGGCACCTGAGGCTGTCAGAATACCCAAACAGTGACTGTATTTGTGTGGATGCAGACATTGTTTGGCTGACAATTTTATACTCCGCTCCTTCATCAAAAATTGTTTGAAATATTGACTTTTGTTGAGGTGGGTGGTGTCAACAGGACCACCTATGGCTCAAATTTTGTCCACTGGGAAACGGCCAAAATTCGAGGCATGTATGGCAAATCTAACATGTAGAGTAACATTCATACATACTGATACTGGGCTCAATGCATTACTAGAACCTTGGGTGCAGGCAGCGCTTAGGAAAGGTAAAATCATGTTCTTACAACATTCATAGTAGTTCTCGATTGGAAACACTTTATTTTGAAAGTACACTCATCTTAGCATACATGTTTTTGAAAAGTGAGGAGAGCAAAGTCCCTGCCAGACACTTCCAGCAGGAATTATTACTATTACCCCCTTTCTGTTTGTTCTTGTTACTATCATCACCAGGACTGCAAGTAAAAGAAAATCCAAAATGTCTAGTAGTCACCAGGTCAGAAATCAAAGTGAAATGTTCCAATAAGGGCACTTGTTTAGATGACAATGATTGCATTTGCTTCCCTTTGTAAATAATTCCTCCCACTTGACTCTACAGGACAAGAAGTAAAAGAAGAAGTATAGCCAAAGTTAAAGCCCATTGTTGGCTGAGGTCACAGAGCCGGTCCAGGCTCTGAAAAGATCTCGACCATATGGTTAGGATCCAACCAGAAGCCTGGGCTGCCAGCTGGCTGAGCCTCGCAGCTGCACTCCGCTCCACAGCCCAGCACTCCAGTGTGTGTCATAGGGAAGAGCAAAGAGCCAGTGCCTGACAGTCATGGCTCTCTGCTCAGAGTAGAAAAAAGGGAGAACTTTGCGATCAGTGGTGTTTGAGCAGTGCTCAGTTCTCAGTGCAGAGCCGGCAGGGGACAAGTGCAGCATTGGGTCAATGCTACATCCATCTAGGTGAGTGTAAGGCTCCATGTACACGAACCTACCCTGACTGCCGGCCACAGCAAAACTCAAATCGCAGAAAAACGTGGCAACCACGGTACCGAGATTTTGACACGTTTTGTGTTTTCCCGCAGTTGGTGGTCAAAACGTTCCTATCCTGAGTGCGATTCTTCTGCATTCAGGAGAGGGAGGTTTAATCTCACCTAAACGTGGCAGCTCCTAAACTCTGCTAAAACTTATGTGTACATGGACACATAGGCTTTTATGGAGTCGAGTATAGGAGTTTTGGCAAAAAAAATGCCAAAAGCTTCTAAACTCGAGTTTAGGAGCTGCTCGTGTACATGAAGCCTAAATGTTGTTGTTTTTTTATAAATCCTATACTTATACTTCTCTTTGATGTAAAATTCCTACAAGAGGAAACAGGTGACAAAAAACCTGACAGAGATATACACCATTTTCCTTCTTTATCCAAAAAAGACATTTTGGCTTAAAGATATAATTAATATGAAATACGGGTGGGAATGCAGGAAAGGAAGAAAATAGGATTGGTCTCAGTGACTTAGATTTCACTAATCATTTTATATTAGATCACTAATTGAACTGACAGCAGCAAGGGACACTGAAAAAGCAGGACCTCTGTGTGTTACAGAGAATTCCTGGACAATGTAATGTCCAGGAATTCTCTGTAACACACAGAAGTCCTGCTTTTTCAGTGTCCCTTGCTGCTGTCAGTTCAATTAGTGATCTAATATAAAGACAAAAAGAAAGGGTGCACCAGCCTAATGTGTTATCTGGAGACCATTTTGTTGTAAAGGAATAAAAACCAACATTCTCACAAAAGTGAAAAACTGCAAGCATAAAATCAATCATGTCTTCATATTAGAATGAGGCCCATCTGCACAGGCGTAGTTTACGTGTTTCAAGGGCAGTGCCCTCTTCATCAGAGTTAACCACAACACCTTTACTGCAGTAGATAGAAAATAACTACTAATCAGGGAAGACCCTGGGGAATGCAAAGCGGAGGGGCCCCATTCTAGGAGTATTTACCTTTGAGAAGCCATAGTCAGGGCAGAATGACCAATACACTAAACATACCATACATAGAAAGAAAATGATGTGTACAATCATCATATAAAATGTACATACATGTACTCGTATATATGTATACATACATAATATATATATATATATATATTTTGTGTGTGTGTATATACCGTATATATTCTTGTGTGTGTGTGTGTGTATATATATATATATATATATATCAGGGGTGGACTGACAACTCATGGGGTCCCGGGTAATAGGGGATCATGGGGCCCCTGTGTCCTCACTCACACTCAAACAACACCCAAAAAAGCCTATGAAAGGTACCAGGGGCATTTCATGGGGCCCCCTACTAACCCCGGGCACTCCGAAATGGTCAGTCCGCCCCTGATATATATATATATATATATATATATGTATATATATATATATATAACCAATAGATAAGAAGACAAATCAGCAATTATCCATAATATGAATCAATTCATCACCAACAAAGATCTTGTACTAATTGATTGAAAATATATATAATATAGGATTTCCCCATTTTGAAGTGGGCAGCAAAGCTGATATGGTGCAATTTCTGTCTCTCAGCTAAGTCCCCAGTAACACCATTGATCTTTTTAGTTATCAAGA